TGCAGATAAGAATGACTTCACACAACTAAAAAAATCTTAAGAGTTTCAGAATTAGTAATGCCACATGCTGTTGCTACAGAATGTAGGGTAACTAATGAGGCCCTACCAATACCCCGCATTGCTTCCATCTCCACTCCACTTTTTGGCCTGTAGGGATTTCACAAGATTTGCAGCATTGTTGTAACAAGTATTTCAAATTTAACTTCTGTTTTGGTGGCTTTCTAGAAGTGCATAAATACCCTTTTTCCTTGACATTGTGAATGGCATCATTACAGTTCTCTCATTAGCATCATAATGACTCTAAAGGAATAGTAAGTGAAAATGGAATACAGTAGTTGTGAAAATGGAACAGTTGAGAAAATGGAATAGTACTGCAAAATAGTCTTATCACCCAACAGAGCTACACACATGCAATGAAATTTTAACCTTAAGGCTGCTTAGTTGCCTCTGGGTGTGCTCTTAATGCATTCTGTTGGCTGGCAACCTGGAAAACCTGTGATAGCCTAAGGATTATAAGCTGAATTCAATTCATATTTCATCTAGGCTTCAATACCACTGAAGTCAAGACGAAAATTTGCAAACAGTTATCAGCAGAGTTATAGTATAACTCGAAGCTTGCAAATATGCAAAAAAATATTTCAGAATAAAAATTGAGGAGGTGGGAAAGACCTTTCCCCAATAGTCCATAGAATATGAAACTGAATGATGGGGAAGGAAAATAGTAAGAAAATGGGAGGCCTGCAGAAGTGGATAGCTGGATAAGAATAGATATGTAAAGAAAAACAAAAAAAGTATAACTGTACCTTGTGGCATTTTGTAGTTGAAAAGTTATGTAAGATAGCTCATACACTTTGTTGGCCTTAACAAAGCAACAATCTTTGTATAGTATAGTTACATTACTGAATAATTGTTATATCTATGTTAATACCACCGGATAATAGCACTGGGTGAGATCATCTGTCACTGGGTTGAAGTATCTGCAATAGGCTGATGATACCCAACTCTATATTTCCACCCCTGATCATCCAAGTGATACTGTTGCTGCTGTCTTGTGGTGTCTGGAGGCTGTGGGGATAAATGGGGGACAACAGAGTTTGACTGAACCCTGGCAAGACTGATTGGCTTTAGGTGCATGGATCTCCAAGATCCGGGATTTTGATATCTGTAATGCTCAATGGGGTGGTAGTAACACAGGCAGATCCAATCTACAACTTGGGGGTTCTCCTGGACTCCATGACTCCTGCTTGAAGACCAAGTGGAAGTCATGGCTGGGAAAGCCTTTGTGCAACTTCAGGTTGTGTGCCAGTTGTAGCCTCTCCTAGATCAGGAGTCCCTGTACTCAGTCATTCAAGCCCTAGTCATCTTGTGGTTGGACTATTACAACACACTCTATATGGGGTTACCCTGAAGACTGTTCAGAAGCTACAGCTGGTGCAGAGTGCAGCAGCACTGGCAGTTTGTGCAGCCCCAAAGGTAGTATGGATGGGTTTTATATTGTAAGTTTTTGGCTTGCTAAACCTATAATCATTAGTATGAAAGTCCCCAAATCCTCCTCTATTATGGAAATTTAGTCTAAGTTCTCAAGGAGAAGATTGGTTTTCTGTTATCAAGGATACAGCAACAAAATAACAGAAATATCTCATTATTCAAACAAGTGCAGCAAAGGTAGTATCCTTCCCATAATATATCAGGCATAATATTTATAAGAAATTTGGGGTGTAGATTCAGGTTTGCCAGAATCGACAATTTCCTAAAATTGAGTGGATCTTGGTCACAGCCATGGCGATATGAAAATGATGGGACATTGTGTAAATGACACAATTATTTACTTTGAATAGTTTAATTTGAATTCATTCTGCTAGCTTCCTTTGACCTATGGAATATGCATTGAGGTAACTTTAATCATTCATTTTTGGCAATTAAAAGAGATAGACACACATTAGCTGGTGAATCAGGCTATAGTCCTCCTATGCACAAGAGTAAGTGTAGCCTCTTTTGATTATTGACTGAAATGGCAAGATGGTCTGCAGGCATTTAAACAGTATCCAGAGGGAATCTGGAATGCCCCTCATTTGTAACAGTCATTCTTAGTCTTTCTTAGAAGAGGGTGAGAGCACTTCCTCATTTCCTCAAGGGACGGATGGAGCTCCAGGTTGATAAAGTCTACAAAGAATTCACCTTGCTATCTTAAACGAATTGAAGTTTCCAGGACCAGGCAAATTATGTTGTACCATGTTGAAGGAGCTGGCAGAATTTATTTCAGAAGAAATGATTGTTATCTTCAAGCAACTAGTATAAGGGCAAACATAGTTCCAATATTTAAAAGGGATGAGGTTTGGGAAAATTAAAGAGCTATTTGTTTAATGGCTGTCCTAGACTAAATTGTGAAGCCATATTTCTGTGAATTCTTGGGAAACAGTAACACTATCACTAGGGGCCAGCTTGGGTTTGTGAAGATCAAGCCATATCAGTTATATTTTCTTTTATATTATGACATAGTGACTAGTTTACTAGAGTAAGTGAATGCTGTAGATATCTTGATTTTAGTAGAGTATTTGACAAGTTCAGGTATGATATCCCTGTGGATAAAATGGATAAATGTGGAATAAAAGAAACTTGGCCCAGTATATTTTCAATTGGTTGAACAACCACACCCAAGGGGTGCTATCACTTCACTGCTCTGGAAGAAACCTATCAAGTGGAGTCCATGGGATTCCATCATCATATGAATGATATTTAACAACTTTATAAATAACTTAAAAAGAAAGGGAGGGGAAGTTGTAGTCTAATATACACATGGCACCAAATTAGAGAGACTGGCTACTAACTTAGAATACAAAATTACAATTTAAAATGAGCTCAATAGGCAAAATTTCAAAAGTGGTTTGCCATTGCCTGCTTCCTAGGGCTGAGAGAGAGTGACTGGCCCAAGGTAGTTCAGCTGATTTCATGCCTAAGGTGGGACTAGAACTCACAGACTCCTGATTTCTAGCCTGATGCCTTTAATCACTGCATCAAACTGGCTCTCTGACCATTACGGGATCAAAGAGGATGCAACAGTTAAAAGGCCCAAAGCAGTTTTGGATTGAATTAACAGAAGTATTGTTTCTAGATAGCAGAAAGTAGTATTTTTGTCGCAATTAAGCTGAGTAGACTATATTTGAGAGTACTGTACCCAGGTTTTGGAATCACACCTTAATAGAGATGTAGACCAGTTAGAATATATTCAAAGAACATTTGTCAGGATGAAAAAAAGATTAGAAGCCAAGTTTTATGAGGAAACGTTAAACGATACAGGGGTGTCTAATTTGCCAAAGTTCTTATTAGGAAGGGATATGGCAGGGGTCTACAGATATCTAAAAGGCTTCTCCTATTTAAGAGGGGCAGATCTCTTTTCTGTTGAAACTGAAGACTGGACTAAATGATTTAAACAATCCCTGCCAACTCATCCGTTCTTTGAATCCACCTTTAACTTTCCTTATTAATTTTGCCAGACAGATTATAATTCTTAACACAATATCAGCTTTTGATTCTTTATTACCAGCACCCCTGCGCTCTTACTTTGGAGAAAACTTGCCTTTTGGCAATCATCAAATCTCTTCATAATATTCAGGATGGAAAGCAGAATTATTCTTGTTTCTTGAAGAGAGGGCATAGAGCTGAGGAGACATCTGGCTTGTGTGCCAAGGAGTCTATGCATTACCGTAGAAAGCACATTGTAATGTGGGTTGCCTCTCTTTCTCAGAAATTCCCCCTCTCCCTTTCCTTCTCTTGCAGTGGGATTGGATAGATGGCTTGCTGCCTGGCTCTGGCCCCGGAATCCCTGCTCCTGTTTAATATTCTGCTTGCTCCACTGATGTTGTGCTTGGCTCCTGTGGGATTGCAACTCACCGCTTGAAACCAGAGCCAATTTTCTGTCTTAATCTCAGTGTTTTGACTGGAGGCAGATCCAGTTCAACCCAATCGGAGCTGGTGGAAACAACTACCTAAGAGTCTCGCTCTGTTTCGCTCGGGGAGGGAAAGAAGAAGGAAGAAGGGGGGTGAAAGAGAGAGAGAGAGAGAGAGAGAGAGAGAGAGAGGCAGGCCAACCAACCAGCCACACGTAAGAGACAAACATACAATGCCGTCTCTGGGATCGCTGTATCTGTAGAGAATAAAGTGATTCCTCTGCAGTTGGGTATATCGCTCAGATTGGTTTGTGTGGTCTTTCTTTCTTTCTTTCTTTCTTTCTTTCTTTCTTTCTTTCTTTCTTTCTTTCTTTCTTTCTTTCTTTCTTTCTTTCTTTCTTTCTTTCTCTCTCTCTCTCTCTCTCTCTCTCTTTCTCTCTCTCTTTCTTTCTTTCTTTCTTTCTTTCTTTCTTTCTTTCTTTCTTTCTTTCTTTCGCGGTAGAGGAAATCTGAATTAAGAATCGCGCGCGGCAGCCAAGGGCTTTTGGGCAGGCGGTCAGTGAACGGGGGAGAAAGGGTTGCCTTTCTTGGGGAAGGGCTGCGATCCTTAACCATTTGGCTGGAAATAAGGCGAGACCCTGAGATCAGCGGCGCTTGCTTCTACACGAACCGCGGAGCAACGGGTGACTTGAGTCCTCGGATCGCCCTCCCCATGTAAGCAATAGGCGACCTACGGGGTGCTGAAGGGGAAAATCGGAACCGACGGCGACGTTCTGAGCCAGCGGCGCGAACTGACCGAGGCAATCGGCGCCGCGAGAGGGTGAGAGAGGGCAACGGGTGCAGAAGGAAGGCAAGCGAGAGCGGGAGGCACCGGCCCCCCCCCTCGGGGCCGTAGGAGAAGGCCCAGGGCTCGGCGGAGATACCAAAATGCCAGCTTGACTGCAGAGCGCAGGCACGCAATGGCCGCTGCCGGATGAGGGTACGCCAGGGCAGGGCGAGCTTCGCGGGCGCGTGGCGGGGCGGGGGGCGGGGGGGAGGTAGGAAAGGCGGCGGCTGCCCGACCTGACCGGCCGCGCTCTCTTTTGTCTCCGTTCGCAGATCGGAGGCGCCGCGATGACTCTGGTGCTGCCCCTGAGCAGCTTCTGCGAGCCCATTGTCTCTTCCGAAGGAGCCGGCGAGTTCCAGCCGCTGTGGGAAGCGCACTGTTGCAGCAAGAGCAGCCCCGCCTCGGATGCCGCCGCCGCCGCCGCCAGCAGCAGCAGCAGCAGCAGCAGCAGCAGCACCGCCCAGGGGCAGGCGCAACAGCAGCCGCCGCCGCCGCAGGGCAGCGACGGCCGGACCCCGGTTGGGCAGCCTCCGCCCTCAGGTAACGCTACGGACCAGCTCGCTCTCCACCCCGGGTTTCTCCTGGAGCGCAAAGCAGCGAATCTAGAATTCCCCCCCCCCCCCGTTTTCCTCCCCAACCGTCCTGGGAGATAGTTGGTGCTCAAGGACTGAGTGGCCAGGAATCCGCCAGGAAGCTTCCATGATGGAAGGAACGTGGGAAACAAGTCCGAGTCCAACATCTTAAGCGCTCCAGCATGCTTGACTCGGGGGCTGTTGCTGGGTTCCTGCTTTCATTTCTCTCCACAACCAATTTGTGAGATTTAGATTTTTTTTTTTAGCTCCGGATTATTACTTGAGATTTAGGAAAGGCCTGAACTGATCCAAAATCTTTCTGCTTCGGGATCATAAAGCGGGTGAACAAGTCAGCTTTCCAGTAAGGGGCTTTTCACCAGCAGAACAAGAGGCAAGAACCCTTCAGTTTGGCTGTTGCCCCCCCTCCCCCCGCTTTTCTGGTACTCAGAGGAGAGCTTTGTCCAAACATGGGCATTTCATGCAGTTAACATAGTATGATGTGAAAGACAGGGGTGGGGTAGGAGGACTGATGAACCAAAAAGAGATGTATTAGGATAAACTGCTCTATAGAAAATCCCTGTAAGGTCAAAGTTAATGCTTTTCATGCAGAAGCTTTTACTTTAACTGATCCTTTGGTTGCTATGTGAGCACCTAACATTGGAGGGTGATCTCTGTTCTGGTTGGCTGCTTTGTTTTCCATGTTCCAAAAGCAAAAGAGGGCCAATCTGTGTGTTTGTGTATTTGGTATGGCAATGATTGTGACTTGTGATTAATAATAATAATAATAATAATAATAATAATAATAATAATAATAATAATAATAATAATAATAATAATAATAATAATAATAATAACAACAACAACAACAACAACAATAATAATAGTAATAATAACAATAACAACAATAACAACAACAACAATAATAGTTGTTGTTATTATTGATGATGATGTTGGAAGGGACCTTGGAGGTCTTTTAGTCCAACCCCCTGCTCAGGCAGGAAAATGGCTGTCCAGTCTCTTCTTAAAAACTTCCAGTGTTGGAATTCACAACTTCTGGAGGCAGGTTGTTCCACTGATTAATTGTTCTAACTAAATTAGATTTAGTGCAGGCAAAAGCTTCCTTTGCGGGTTCTCCTGTCAATGGATTGTCTCTCTAACATCCTCTTTGTCTTACTCCATTCAAGAGTAACAGTTTGATATTTTTTTTAAAGCACTTTTTATAAGTTTCTCAAAGGTCCTTTCTTCATTGTTAGATTTTTCTGAGCACTAGTGAAAAAAATATGAGTAGGGTCTAACTCCTAAGCAAACTCAACTTCTAATCAGATGCTTGGTAGTAGTCAGTTTTTTTTAAAATGAGAGCATTTTCCAACTTATTCTCTGCTATGTGACTGGTGCAGATGATCTTTGGAATTTACGTAACATACCTATATTTAAAGAAAGAGTTTAGAGAAGAAGTGGAAGGGGGGTGTCTTTTGAGATTAAACCTTATAAACTGAGGATGATATGATAAAATTATGCATGGATTGTGTCACATTAGACTGTCTCGTGGAGCTCCTTGTATGATATTCCATAAAAGGTGGACATTTTTGTTCCAAAATCAAACCAAAGCCATAGAACTAGATATCTAGCAGAATTATATCACATCTTCATTTTTTCCATTTTGAACTATTTTAGTTTTGTATGGCAGTACATTTAATGGCAAAAGCTCCCACTATAAGCTGAAATATGGACTGTTTGGACAAGACTGCTAAATTATCCTGATTTAAGAATATTTTTTCTATACTTAAATATATATTACACTCTTTCATCCCACTGAGATCCCACAGTTAGCCCCATTCCATGTCTGGATTTAGGATAAATCCTGGGATCTTTAGGGATGAAGTGTTGACTTCCTTCCAGAGGGAATTTTGAACTGATCTCAATGTGATGGTTTAGGGCAGTGTTTCTCCCTTCACTGCTTTGTGTTTGTGAGAAGAAAAATGAAATAGTTTATAGAGCAACCCTTAGCTTTGTGTTAGATTGGAATTTACTGAGCTGAAATCTTCTTTAACCAAAGTTATTCAAAACAAACTGGAGCCAAGTGGTTTCACACCCACGTGAATCAATTAACTTTAATTTTAAATGAATAATATTTGCTCAAGTTTGAATGTAACATGCATTGTTTTGCACTACTGTAAAAGCAGAACCTTTCATATTCCTTTACAATAAGGAGGAAAACAGACAAAGCTGAAGCTTATCATGATTTATTCCTGATCACTTGACTATGGTTCAGATGTATGTGTAGAAGAGCCTTTTTCTATAAAAGGCCATTGACCCATGAGGAGAGTCACTGGGGGAGGCTGCTTCAAGGGATGATGAATGAAGTGAGAGCTGCTGGTATATGAACCCAGTGCCAAAATTAGAGCTTTCTGCCTTGCAAGTTTGCATAGTTCTCTTGCTTTCTATTTCTGCACATTAAATTGGACCATAGAGTGCATGCAGTCGCCTAGATCAGTGGTTCTCAACCTGTGGGGGGGTCACCAAGCAAGGCTGTCCGCTATTTTTTTTGTCCGCCATTTTTTTTGTCCGCCATTTTTTCCCCTTTTCCGGCGGGTGCCTTACCTCCCTTGGGCTGGGCCAGCTGGTGGTCGGCCTGCTCCGTCTCTGCCGCTTGCCAGCTACGCCTCGGCCGGCGCAGGGGGCGGAACCACGCATGCGCGGCGCTCCCGGGCAGGGAAAGTCTTCAACTTATGACCGGTTGGGGTCGCGGCATTAAAAAGGTTGAGAACCACTGGCCTAGATGCAGATATCCCATCCTGAGCTTAAGTGAATTGAAGGCCTCACAGGTTTTTTCTTACCTCTAATTTCAATTACATATGAGCATACTATTCAGTGTTTCTCAACCTTGACAATTTTAAGGCATGTGGAATTCAACTCCCAGAATTCCACACCCAGCATTGTTGGCTGTGGAATTCTGGGAGTTGAAGTCTACATACCTTAAAATTGTCAAGGTTGAGAAACACTGCGTATAGTTGTTTTATGATTCTACCCATGCTTAAAAATGCCTTATGTTGAATTTGGCTTTAGAAGCATGATTTTAAATACATGTTACAAAAGACCTCTAGGAAAGAAGGCTGGAATTAAAAATCCATATTAATAAAAGTGTAAACAAACCGGATGGTGATCTATGAGGCAGTCCCCCTCCCCCCAATGTTGGTGATGGTTTAAATGTTTTAATATTTTCTTTGTCGTACTACAAACATTTTTAGTTGCCAAAACAATATTTTAGACATAAATAATTATATATGACTTAATCCAACTTTGATAGCATCAAAAACGATAATGGGGTTAAGTCCCTCAGTACCCTCTTTGAAAATGAAGGTTGTGCCCACTTCATTTGTATAGCTTTTATTTCAAGTTTAAAATAGCACATGGGGAAAAAATGCAATGATTCCCAAACAGTGCCCATATTAAATGCTAGCAATAATTAAAATTTTACTCTCTGTGGTAGCACACTGTCTGATTGAAATACCATGGCCCAGACTAAATTATGGTATCCATCGGTCTCTAAAGAGTTCAGAGTAATTACGTTTTGGTTACCTGTTCCAAATCACTTCCTTTATATTGAATTTAAAGAACATTTCAAATTGGTTTAGACCCAATTATGCATATTTGATACACAAATTACAAATAAGATTTATCTACCCATAAGGACATTGTTCCTTCTTGTCAGAAGGGATCATACAAATCTACTTTATCTTCTGTAATAAGAGAGTTGTTGTGAAAAAGATAAAAATTTGGAAAAATAAAAAAAAATGCATGCACTTAAGACAGTAATAGCGGCATCTTCCATTTGTCTACTCACATTTCAGGGGAAATTATTTATTAGAAGGTTGGCCAATGAGAAATCAGGTTCTACTGGCAGGTTGACCAATGAGAAATCAGGTTCTACTATCTCATTTAAAATGCAGTCATGTGGCTTTTGGGGTGGGAGGGGAGCATAAAATACTGTGTAATACCCTTTGTGGTACAAGGGAAGGCTGCTTGTGGAGATGGAAGTTGGCTGCAGCGTTTGGTGGGGAAAATCTGCTACTCTGGTGCTTTCAAGGACCAAATAAGGTAGGATCTAGACCAAATAGAGGTTTTAGGTCACAAAAAAGATATGATAGCTTTGGTATGAGATGATAGCATCCAAAAACCAATGGGAGGAGATATTTCTAAAAAGTGGGAGAGTTACAAGCCACCACCTTGTCTTTCTTCCCTGGCTGCCTCAAGCTCAGCAGGTTTTATGAAGTGGGAGTTCCCCTTCCACAGAGGAACTCTATGACTTTTGGCTTCCATAGAATTGGTATTTCTGGTTAAATACTGGTTAAAGCATTTCTGGTTAAATCAATCTTGAAGGCTGTAAGGAGCTACTGTTTACTAGCAATGTATTAAATTTTATTAGTCTTTTTAAGACGGCATACGTGCTAATTCTAACAAAGAGTTCAGTGATGAAAGCTGCAGACATTTTTTTCAGATGGGTTGGACGTGTAGGATAAAACTTTCTTAAAGTCCAGCATGTAAAGAATGTTTAAACTGTTGTGACAACTATGCTTAAAAAAACAGATTTCTTTCTTAGAAATCTTTTGGAAAACCTTCCATTGCCTCAGTTTATTTTTCACGTAAACTGTTATTAGATAGATAGATAGATAGATAGATAGATAGATAGATAGATAGATAGATAGATAGATAGATAGATAGATACAGTGCTTTTTTTGTAAAAAAGAAAAAAAAGGTGCTGGAACTCACACATGTCATACAACCCGCCTTGCCTACCCTACAAGGTTCCATCCAAAAAAGGTGCCGGAACTCCGTTCTGGGCGTTCTATGACAAAAAAAGCCCTGGATAGATAGACAGACAGACAGACAGACAGACAGACAGATAGATTCCTGTTTGGAGCACACAAGTATACATATACTGTATGTCCAAAGCAGTAAAGACAAGCTGGAATATATATTTTTGGGGTATTTTTTGCACTCATGATGTAATCTAGTTTGGGTAATGAAACATCTGCAAGAAAACAAGCAAGCTCAGAGAACACCAAGGATCCCTCATTTCAACTCTGAGCAACATTCTCCTTTATTGGTCTTTTGTACCTGTCAGATACAGTTTACACCATATGTAATCTGTTTCCCACAGCACTACACCACAGAGGAAATCCAAACCCTATAGCACCATCTAAGATCACATATTTTAAAAGAAAGTATGTGGAAGAAGAAGATTTTCATCCACCACTCAGTAACTGTACACCCAAAGTAAGTTTCAAAAAGCTATTACTTCTGAGTTTCTGATTTGAAGTTGTATAACTTCTATTTGCTTGAGTGCAATGCATTTCAGTTTCCATAAATAGTAATATGTTTTTGTAAAAAAAAAGTATATTTGCTTTTTCTAAACTTGTAATCTGTTAATATGAACTGGTTGATTCTTTTATTTTCTTTATTGCTATCAATTTTGTTTTAGTGAAGAAAATTTGGACTGCACAATTCTTTTGTATAACTCAGAAATTAATAATGCCTTGGCATCATGAGAATGTAATTTTTCCCTCTGCTGTTCATAAATGACCATTGAGCAAATGGTCTATGGTTTGTTGAGTATAGAATCCTTCTCACTCAAAATATTGAACCCACCTTCCATTGCATGTAAACTTATTTATTTATTAAACTTACATGCTGTCCATCTCACCTAGAGGGAACTCTAAGCAGTGTACAATCAATAAAAGCAACAAGACAAAATATTAAAGCATTAAAATAATAAATGTTAACACTAAAATTGACTTAAACCTTAACAAAGATGGCAAGGAAGATAGAAAGATGTACACGGGAGGAAGCAGGCATCAGAGATCAGTTAGAGATGACCAATAATACTCGCTATGTTTCTATGTTATAGAAAGCCAGAACCTGGAAGGGTCCTGGTGTATCATGAACAAAAAAATATGCAGATGTATGCTCCTATCTGATTCTTCTTGCCCCAGAAATGGCTAAACAAACCATAGATGCTCTTTCCGTGATATGTTTACTATGATATATGGGCCAGAGCTGGAAATCATGGGTTGTTCTTGGATCCCATTCTAGGTTTGTTTGGGATTCTCAAATCAGAGTTTATAATTGACACATCTGTCTTTCCAATGTTAGTTTACTATACCCTATCTACTTTCATGTGACATATAAATGCAGTCAGTATCTTTTGCTAGCTCTGATTATTTTCAAGCTAGGCAAGCAAGAATTAGGCATTTTGATTGAGATATAAAATTTGAAGCAAGCAATCTAATTATAGACATCTAATAATAATTTTTAAAAATGGCAATTTACTGTCTTTTAGTAATAAAATAAAAGCTAACTTCTAGGCCAAGTTGTCTGGCCTATTCTAAAGAACTAGCCAAACCTGAGCGTTCTATATGAATTTGTGTTATTTTATAAATCTAAGATCTTCTAATTCAGATATTATTTTTTGCTCATAATGAGGGAAAGAGATGGACCATATAGCTTTTTGTTATATGGAGATGAAGATACAAAGGTTCTGTCTTATGAACCTGATGAGCCAATTTAAATCGCAATACAATAAGGCCAGTTTATTAAACCTTTACAAAATAATATCCATCAGCCTGTTTTCTCTCTCTCATGTTAAACTAGAGGCACTAATATTTTTATGAAGTTATGAGAATGACAGGAGAGCTTAATTAATAGCATGGTTATGTTTAACTTGCTCAAAAAACTTCTGCTAGAGTGATGAGTAGCCGCAGGGAATAAAGTCCAAACTTCAAGTACAACCTGCCAATATCTGAAAAACTCATGTAGGTAAAATAAACACATAAAAAGTGAGGGAAAAATGTAGTAAAGGCTCAGATCATAAATGGCAGTCTTGATGTAATATAGCAGTAAATTGTGCAGTTTTGGTTTGATGTAGTTAACCACATTGAGACTTGAGCAAGGGGCACATTGCTTTTAAAGCAAACAAGCATTGTATAAAAGTTTTCACTGAATGGCAAGTAAGAATCTGGCCCTGTGATCATATAAACCAGGGATGTCTGACCTTGGGAACTTTAAGACTTGTGGACTTCCAATTCCCAGAATTCCACAGCCAGCATCCTGTGTTGCTTGAGGAAGTTCCATAGCCTTCCAAAAGGGTGTCAGGGATGCAGAGGAAAAACCCTTCTGAGATTTCTTCCATTCAGATATTCAGCATCCATGTTAATAATGACGATGGCAATCATAACTGCAACAATGGATGTACAGCAACAATATCAATAGCGCAGTTCCTTTATATTTAACTCTGTATGGGGGAGGGGGGGTGTGCGATTAAAAAAAACCTGCAGTGACATTAAAATTTGTTTCTATTCACCTGATTTTCTTTATTGGGATAGGTAGGAAAATTACTATCATTGTGTTAATTGTGTATAGATGCTAATTTAAAACAAACGCAGAATTTCTGCAAAGAGGAAGCTTTATTTTATGGCTTTGCTTAGGAATCAGTGATACAGAGCATGTTTCTGGACTGAAAATTTTAATATTCAAGAGAGAACTAACACACACATGGGAGGGAGAGAGGGAGGGAGAGAGAGAGAGAGAGAGAGAGAGAGAGAGAGAGAGAGAGAGAGAGAGAGATTGCTTCCCCAGAATAGCACTCTAGTACAATAGCATTTTACTGCATAGCTGTACAGATTCTCACCTGTTCAATTCTCCATTATCTCTTTCTTCTTCTCATAAGTATCTCATTATGAAATTGGACACCAATTTAACAATCCTTGGGACTGATTTTTTTCTCTTTCCAGACTGTAATAATATAGATAAGGAGAACATTGCAAAGTTGTTATATTGCCTGGACATCTGGAAATTCAAAATTCATTCACTAAGGAATGTTGGAATTCATGGTTCATTTAGGCCATGACTTTTTTGTTAAGTAAGGTTGCTAAAAGTAATAGTGATTTTTTTTTTGTAAATTAGAAAGAATTCCTATGGGAACTAGACAGAGACCAGTAGATAGTTTTACAGCAAACATGAAACAGCCTACCAGATATTTATCAGTTTGTAACTATAAGCATAGTAATTTCAATTGAATCAGATTTTGAAGTGCACTAGTAATTCTTTTTAAAATTACTTTACCTGATGCTGAAAGTTTATGAGATTTTTTTAAATAAAGAAACATGTGGATTAGAGTGTGTGCATGTGCATGTTTGTAGTTAACCCTGATTCCTTATAATCTGCTATTTTTGTTGCTTTTCTAAAATTACAGTAGGTAATTATTAGTAGATTGAGTACCAAACCTACTAATAGTTTATTTATTTATTTATTTATTAAATGTATATACTGCTGTATCTGACATGACAATGTTTTACAGCATAAATTAAAACAAGTATAAATTAAACCCACCATCAAGACATAGCACAAAGTATCAATAAACAACTAGGGCTCTGTTATAGTCAGTAAAATAATATCAAACTTCAACTATCCTGCGTAACAGCTCCATCTTGAAAGTTTTATGGAAGGACATCAGATTTGGTGCCAGCCAGACCTCCAGGAGAAAGCTGTTCTTCCTAAAATTATTGTTCTTTTTCACATATTGTTTTATTTAGTGGCACATTTCTGTTAAAAGAACTCTTCAAAGATGCATTGGTAATGAATTACTAAACATTCAAGCACTGTGGTTTCTTTCAGTTGCTAGCTAAATTCAGTTTCCTTGATTTAGGAAGTCTTACTTTGGTGATAAGGTTGAATATACTCAACATTAAGCCTTACAGCTCCTGATGAGATTTGTGAGAGTTGAATAACAATGACAGTAAACAACAATGGAACCACTTAACCATAATAATACAGGAATTTATTAAACTTGCATGCTGCCTCTTTAATAGGGCAGCTCACAGCGATCAAAGAAATTGGAATAAAATGAATAGAAAATAAAGATAAAAGATGATCTAACTCTCCTGGGCAAAAGAGAGTCAGCTGCCCAAATATTATATGATGCATGGATGGATAAAATCTCAGTGGCATGATTCAATTAATTAATACTGCATTCATTTTTATTATTATTTCCTCTCTCTCTCATTCATTTTAGACAATCTCTGTATTTGAGGAGCGGGCACATATTCTGTACATGTCTTTGGAAAAACTGAAGTACATTGATGACCCTGAAGTCTACCTAAGGAGATCTGTTCTCATAAACAATTTAATGAAAAGAATTCATGGAGAGATTATCATGCAAAACAACTGGTGTTTTCCTACTTGCTCTTTTGGAGGTACTTCAAGTCAAGAGTGGTTCATGCCTCATGACTGTCCTTATAGGAAGCGTCTTCGGATGGCACGGGAGGACTCTGAAAAGATCCACACATGCTGTTTTTATCAAGAATGTGGCAGCCATTATCTAAGTCTACCATTATCTACTAATTCTGCAGTGGGGAATTCCACTGCTTCTGTGTCTTTACCAAGTTGTTCCCAACAAGTGGAATATGGTAGCAACAGTTCCCCAGTTTATAGGAGTGATGAACATATACATGCCAATGAAATTTTCATTACAAATGCTGGGCCACATGGTAATCAGGACAAGTCAATATTCAGTAATGAGAAAGGAGGCCAAGATATGGATGGAGAACATGCTTCAGACTGGGATTCTTTGAAAAGTGATCATGCCATAGAATGTAAAAACAAATATTACAATTATTTTGAGATGGGTCACGATGACAAGAGCAACATGAATGAATCTTGGAAGAAATGTTTACGAAAAAAGGAGTGTTTACCAGGTAGCAAAATTTGTTGCAGTAAAGGAAATAAAATATGAGCCATCTTCTGAATAATTTCAGTTTAGAAGCAAGCACAGTGTTGACATTATCAGAAAAAAATCAGTTTGGATCAATTTTCTTATGCTTTCATAGAACTAGTACAATTGTGTCATAAGCTTCATGAATACTTTCAGTGACTGTGGAGCAGATTCTATCAAAGCGTATGTATGGTCTGCATCATGAGCTATTTATAAATACATGGGATCCTGATAAAGAGCACAGTTGCACTGTATACTTCCATTGCTAGAAGAACCAATAAACCAGATGGAAAAAACACAATTCCTTTCATGTATCCCTTTGGGAACTTAGCATGAATTAAGAGGAATCTTCTTTATGCTTATCAATTAATTATACATTTGATAAGCAGATTGTTACCAGCGAAAGGAAGAATACATTTTGCCCATCAAAATGGCTTTGAAAAAGACTGCATAGAAATAAAAATGGAATAGGCCCACTTTATGGTCCAGAAGTGACATTATTCTAATGTATTTAAGTCTGGTTTTATTGATAGGGTACAATGCCCCCTTTTTATGGAGACTTAATTTGAAATACTACATACAGTTCCAGCACATGCACAGTTTTCAGCTTAGCTGCAAGAATGAACAAGCCTTATAGTGGTTTATTGCTATAATGGTAGAGATTTTTTGGTGCCTTACTTTTAATCTTAATTTTTCCAGGGTGAAAATTAAGTTTAAGAAAACAGCTACAGCAGGGATGTAACCTAAACAGGAAAAAAATAATAACAGGGTGGATCAAATATTATTAGAATTCTGTCTCCTTTGAAATACAAAGCTTGATTTCCTATTCAACTGCCGCTATTCATTCTTTTTGCTCGGTCGCTTTTTGATTTGCCATTTTAAAGAAAGGATTGAAGGAAAAAAACAATAGAGATGTGTCTCTTGTAAACAAGCATTAGCTCTTTGAATATTTCTATGGCAACTGTCGGTTGCTTTGATATTTTTTCCCCTTTTTATTTCTAGTATAATGAAGTTCATGAACCAGTGGCATGCTTTATATTTTACTCTGTTTCATGTCATTTTCTCTTTTCAGAAAAATGTAAAGAGCATGTACTGGGTTTTCATATAATTGTAGGGTTTTTTATTTTGGAAAAAAGCACAATGTTAATAAATGATGTGGTGATATAAGATTTTTATCTGAAATGAATGTAAGAGTTTCAATCTTTTTTTAAAAATTATCTTGGAGAAAGAGGGGGATAATCTTCAATTATTAGGATTATATTTGGATCGTTTCTGGAATTTTTCATTTTAAAATATTCTGTCTAAAATTCAAGATCTTTAATTCCAGATAAAACACACAATGAATTTTGTTCCATTTAAATATATTTTTTATAGTTGAAGGAATCAATAAATGGGAATAATCATTATTACATGACACCATTTAAAGGTCTGGCTGAATTAGGAGCAATCATAATTTCAGAAAAGTAGTTCATTATTGCTGCATCATGCCCTTACCTTTTTTTTTTTTTTTTTCAGAAATGAATGAAAACCTTTCATTTGGATCCAACTTATGCTTTAATAGAATTAATTTAAAAACATTTAACCTTCTTAAAACTATTTACATTTTTCTCTACAGCTACATGAATTATTCAAACAATTATAAAATAATGTTCAGTTCCTAGGCCTTACCCTAGAAACTATAATTCTTGTTATTCTGTGTGAACATCTTTGATGCAATTATGAAAAACATGAATTCTTGAATGGATTGTTGCTTTCTTTGTATAGAATATGCTTTGCATAGAGAAATTTTAGATTCATTCCTTACATTTTCTTTAAGATATGAGGTGATAAATTAAGAAAAAGTCTTCAGCCAGAAAATTACTGTGAGTCAGGGTAGATAATACAGGGTTAAAATAGTTTTCTTCCCTTCATTCAGCTTCTGATATGGAAGCAATTTAAATTGCAAATACTGGGATATGAAGTATGTACTTTTTAACACTAGAAATTAGCTAAACTGCTATATATTAACTGATGCTAAGTGTATAGCTTCTTTCTAATCCCTTCACCAACATGATATGCAGAGTGTAGGTTCAAACTACAGTAAACCATAATATAGTTAGTTTTGGACTTAGAATGTTGTGTTAGACCAACTGAGCTTAGTATTGTATAAATCCAATCAATTTGGCCAATAAGCTGTGTATAATACAACATACACACACACACACAAAACCTGAAGCAACTACATATTTGATTGGATAAGAAGTAACATTTTCTAGCAGGGTGACTTCAATATGTTTTTTTCCCCTTAAGACACACTATCTGTCTTAAATACTTGCTTAACCTTTTTACAACTATAGAAAGAGCATTCTAAATATCCAAAGAGAAAACCTGAGAGTTCATTTTCACTAGAAGTACAGCTTTAAGTTCACTGCATCCATGCCAGATAATTAGCAGTTTTAGAGTCTAAGAAACCTAATTTGTAATTATTAGTATGTCCCTGCATCAGGAACCAAGCTTTTCCTACAAGAATCTGGCAAGCAAGGAAGCTAGAGATTGGATTTGGGAGGCAGGAGTAGCTGTGTCAGAAAAGTCACGATGGTGTTTTTAAATGCATAGCCCAGGTCGCCATCTTGATTTTTTTCCTCTTCCTGCAGACATCCCTGATTAAAGATTAGGATATCTCATAGCGCTATTCTGCCGAATATAGAGGGAGGCTGCTGAAGTAGAGCTCAGTTGCTCAAGATTCAACAGGAAGAGCATAACTTCCTTGGCTCTATATCTGAGGACCAAGAAGCAGTCAAATGAGGTATCTGGGAAACATTTCTGCTCCAATAGCGAGGAAAGGGCCCTGCAATGCATTGTGTGGTCACTTTTCCTCAGCGTCATTTACATAACATGAGGCTGTCTTTAACTTTTTTTCTGTACTGAGGACATGCAAAGATTTCTAGGGCTGGGGCATTCAATGTGGTATTGGAGGGCAGCATAGTAATGATCAGATCATATTGTGACACCCATTGGATTCTCTCTTCCATATGCAAATGAATTGAGCCATATCATTTACTTGTACTGGGAAAATAAAATTTGCCCTATTAAAAAATGGGAGCCACTAGAGATACTTGCAGAAAAGAGTTTTGTCTCCACATGGGCTTTCCTCTTTATTTCCAACTAATTTTAAGTGGAGGAGGAACCATTGGACCATTCTATTTTCTTTTTCCTCCTCCTTTTTCTATCTCCCTTCCCTCTGTTTTTGTTTTGTATAAGAGAAAGAAAAACAGAGATAAAGTAATAGGAGCATTCCCAACTTTTGTGACTGGCCATTTTGGCCAAGAGCCTGCGGTCTGTTTTCATGACATAAACAAACATCCACCCCCTTTCCCCAATAATAGATATATACTATGATGCGCCAGCAGCAGCGGAATGAGAGTAAATGAATCTGTGCAATGTCGACAATTTTAGAATCCACCTAGCTGCTGCAAAAAACAGTCAGGGAAGCTCTCAGCCCCCGCTTTGCTTCCCCTTCCAGTTTCTCAAAGACTGAGTGGAAAAAAAAAAAAGAAACTCACACAGGCTTCAAATAATTACGATTCAGGGTGAGGGAGTTCCTTACCCAGATCCCATCAATTTCTACTAATTCTTCATTACACATGTGGCAACAAGGAGGTGGATTAAAAGCCAAAATAACTACAGAAATGGAATGCATAGAGAATGTTTTAAGCTTAGATATTTTTTACAGGACTTCTCTAGGACTTTGTCATCTTAGGAGAGACAGGAACTAGCTAACCATCTGGCTAGCAGTCTTGGATGGTATTAATTTAACTTTCGGCAAGACTGTATCTCCTATATCTAAATCCATTCCCCAGGGATTAGCTGATTGAGTCAACTCACACATTTTTAATGCTACTATGACACATAAAATGTCCCGTGTATTCAAGATACTCCCATGGTAGCCACTGTATTGCTATGTCACAGGTATATGTCATGTGCCCATAGGTCCTGTTTATAGAGAATTAAATATAAAATTGATATATGCCAAAATGGGAAATTTTACAAGGCTGACATTTACATTTTAAAAGGTTGTCCCACCTTTTTTTCTCCAAGACAAAAGCATTTTTATTATTGCTATCAATATTAAATATAGGTCTCATTCATACAGTGTATGAGTAGGATCATTTAGTCATTTGTCCACATGGACCAATTTTTTTAAAAAGTTGACTTTTCTTGTGTTAGATTCAGTTGAGAACAGAAAGATCTGTTCTTCCTTTTCCAATATATGTCAAACGTTGAATGTTTTAAGGTTAGATATTTAGATATTTGTATACTAAGGTGATGTTGTAATAGTGTTTTTTTCTTGATATATATTTATTAAAATTATAAAACATTTTCATTTAAAAATGTTTTTTCCTTTTTTGCCATCAAGAAAACATTTAAGCAAATATTTGAGCAAGTGAAATGTGACTGATAAAGATTTAATTGGTTAGATCAGCTAAAGACATCAAAGCCCTTTTTTCCCCTAGAACACTTTGTAATATTGTTTTGCTTTGTATATGAATTGTATATTCTGAAAGCATTGCTACATTCCTAAATATAAGCTGGACTTAATTTTGCTTTCCTAATTTGAACATTATTTATAAGAGTATTGTATGTTGTCAGCTGTGCCCATTTTAAATTTACCAGCCAGGTTGTTCCCTCCCTCCTGAACTGAAGTTGGCTTGGAATCCCTAGGCTACTGGGAGGCTGAATTCCTGTTTTCAGTTTTAAGGAAAATATTTCTTATATTTATAGTCTGTTTTAGTGAGGAGATACAGATGTATTGAATTAAATTAACAGATATCCTAGGAGACAATCTGTTCATTGAAACTCCCTAATAATGGAAGATGGGAAAGCATTTTTGTGTAGTCTCTGGAAATCTTTAAGAGATTGAAAGATTCACTGAAATGGCTTAGAACAGCGTATCTCAACCTTGGCGGCTTGGAGATGTAAGGATTTCAACTTGCAGAATTGCCAGCAAATATGCTAGCTGTGGAATTCTGGTAGTTGAAGTCCACACATCTTCAGGTCGCCAAGGTTGAGAAACACTTGCCTAGAACAATTAAGCCATAGAATACAAGGGGATTTGATTTTAAGAGCAATAGACTCTGTTAGGTTAACAACCCCAGAAAATTTGTTACTAATTGAAACAAAATACTGTATATTCTTGCTTTGACAATGGTGTTTTCAACTAAAAAGCTCCTAGTACTTACCTATTTTGTCTTTGCTTCCTTAATGGACTTTTTCTAAGGGAAAAAATGAGAGGTCATCAAAGGGTACAAATGAAAGGCAGTTTTCTTTGAAATCTCTTAATACTCAGTGGATTGGTCAACGTGATTAAATAATAAATACCCCTCCAGCTACATCCTTTGCGGTAAATGACAATGTGGTTTGTTTGATTAAGGGTCAGTACTAGTGTGATTCCTAAATGTCATTCACATAAGTTTATAGCTTAGCACAATGTATGAATCTAATTTTAATTTTGTAGATATTTAAAAGAGCAAAAAAAGAATAATTATTCACTCTTCTCATAGAGACTAGTATTTGAATTATGACAAGTAAATTGTAGCCAAACAACCTTCCCTAATCTCTCTTAGACTGCTTTTCCTAGTTTTAGATCCCCAGATGATTTTAAGGAAAATACTTCCAAGTCAGCATTAGCCAGCATCAAATTTGGTAGGAGTTATAATAAAATATCTGCTGGCCCATAGTTGAAGAAGAGAATTTTCAAAAAAAAATCTAAACAGTTCAGCAATAAAGCAGATGAAAAAAGTTATGCTTTTTAATATCACTAGAGGAGTTTTTTATTTTTATTTTTTAAAGAGTGCAGGCACTCAGTCAAGTTGTAAAAACTACTGTGATACATGATAATAGATCCCAGTATGCATCTTTTACTTTTTTCATATTTTTAAACAGATAACAAATTAAAACAATACTGTTTGATTAAATAATATGCCTGAGGATAATAATTAGAAGACTAAATTTCTTGTCATAAAAGAATTTAAACAAAATTCAACAAAATTAGAGGAGATAATATATTAAAGGTAGGATAAAGATATCCCATGAATTATTTTATTTTAATATTTTTTAAATTTCATGCTGCCCAGCTCCATATGACTCTGGGTAGCTCATAATGTGCCAGAGAATATAAAAAAAATATAATAAAAACATTATGA